AGTTCAGCGAATTAAAAGACAGCGGCTACGCTGGCTAGGTCATGTTGTCCGGATGGACGAAAACACTCCAGCTCTGAAAGTATTCGACGCAGCACCCGGCGGGGGAAGCAGAGGAGAGGAAGACCTCCAATACGTTGGAAGGACCAAGTGGAGAAGGACCTGGCTTCACTTGGAATATCTAATTGGCGCCACGTAGCGAAAAAAAAAAAAACGACTGGCGCGCTGTTGTTAACTCGGCTATAATCGCGTAAGCGGTGTCTACGCCAATAAAGAAGGAGAAGAATCATATACATATACATATATAATAGTAAAGAAGCGCGAACTTTTTTAAGGAAATAATCAATCAAACGAGACAAGTGGTTTTAAGATCGGGTGTAACTGAAGATTTTATACTACCGCAATTTGCATAGATCAAGGGCGGCTTGATTATTATATTTTTTTAAGTTTTCGATTCACATCGACAAAAAGCAGTTAAGTGAACTGAAGTATTATACTCTTTTAGGAGAAGTTTGGCAAAATATAAGTGTTTAAAGATAGGGAAAACTCCCGTGCTCTTATGTCAAAATTCCTCAGTTCATTCACAAGGAAAGTTTCGGCCAGCCTTATACCTTACGATATAAGTATGCCTTCAGGGCTATTAAACAATTGTTTCTATAAAAATATAAATATAGCGATGACTATTATATTATAGTTACATATACAATAATAAGCACCATATACAAAAGTAAAACTGGTCTACAACGGTTTTGTTGCGCTAGGTATAAAACCGTTTATATTTATGCCCATAAATCATGAAACAATCCATGTTTTTTAAGATGTACTTTAGTTTTTGATTAAATTCATTTTAATTTTACTTTAAATCACAAAATACTTGACGCAATAACTAAAATTTGTGCAATACAAGTTCTTTTATACCGAGTTATTGACGAGTACTCTCAAGTTTCAGGGGGGCAATTCGAGCAGAAAATCGTTCCGCTGTTTGTAGAGACTGCAGAGTATTGACGTCGAACCCTCCTTGTGTTTTCTGACGTGTGATTTTTCCTGAACAGAGGGGGTTGTCTCAACGAATTTGAGGATGCTTCCTCCTTGATGTTGAATTTCCCGGCCGTTGTGCCAAAGAACCCTCCTTGCCCACCCTGGCGTTAAAGTCGGCAAGCACGATTTTCACATCGTGGCGGCGGCAGCTCTCATAGGTGCGCCCCAATATGTCATAGAAGGCATCTTTGGTAACATCGTCCTTCTCTCCCGTCGGGGCGTTGGCGCAAATCAGCGATATGTTGAAGAACTTCGGATTGTGACGAGACGTTCATTCACAGGAGGGAATGATAGTACTCGGCGACGGAATCTCTCTCCCGCCACGAATCCTATTCCGATCTCGCGCTCCTTTATATGACCACTGTAGTAAATGCCACAAGGACCTACTCGGCTCAGTTCTTGTCCCGTCCATCGTATTTCTTGAAAGGCGGTGATGTCAGTCTTTTTTTGACGTGGACATCAACCAGCTGGGTAGTGGGCCCAGCGCTTTCCCAATTAGGGATCAAACATTCCAGGTACATGCCCTCAAATTTTAATCTTTAACGCGTTTGCCATGGTCATCATCAAGAGGAGAGAATCGTTTCTGGCCACTGCCAAGTGATTGGCGATCAGAGAATTTTCCTCACTTGCGTGCAATTCTATACATGACTCTATCCTTCATCCTGTTCTTTACTATAATTTCCAAAATTTCTTCAGAAATACGGAATAGTTTTAGCTGACACTGAAATTTGTTTTTCGAGATAGCTCCAGTTTGTCAGTAGATTTTGGTACTTAGAGGTTTCCTAGGAAATTTTAGACTGTCAACACAAAACTTTCCTAAGCTTCAATTTCTGAAAAAGTTGTAACCCTAATATAATATGTATGTATGTTTCATTCAACTTTGTCGTGTGAAATTCGGAAATTAAATTCCAAGACCAGCGCTTTGACAAATTGCTTTATCATTTCTAATCTGATCGCGTATTAAAACACTGAGTTCATTTTGAGAAAATATAACAGCTGTAGATTTTTCACCCCCTGATTCACATCAATGGGTAGACTGTATTGATATCCGAATATTTGGCGACAGCATTCTTTTTGATAAGGAAGCGAGATTTTCAATAAGTAAATAGGACTACTTTTAGACTGTGATTCTTGATTTATAATAATAATAATAATAATACCTAACAATTACCCTCCTCCCGCCAACCGACGCGAGGGGCGTAATCCGCAAACGAGCGGAAATAGCCGAGTCATAAAAGGCAAGGGAGTTTTAAGCGTTGCGATCTTAAGCTGCTCAGCTACAGAAACCAAAATTTCAACAGCCAAAATTAAGAATTAAAATTAAAGTTTATAATTTTTAAATGTTACTTGTTAAGAGTAGATAAAATAATTTTTTTAATGGTAAAGAGTGAGTCTGAGATATCAAATGTGCTGGAATGAGAATTCAAATCGTGACATATACGGATGGTTCGTTTAACTCGAAATTTGTTCTAGAAAATTTTAAAAGTAATGGTCTAAACTGCCTTGTAGAGCGAGCGGGGTAAAATTAATATTAGACAAGAGAKATGGGCTACAGACTGACCCATTCATGAGTTTTACAAGAAAGATTATACCAAGCATCTCCCTACGACTAGCGAGTTTCGAGAGATTTATGAGTTTTAAACAGTTAGTATAAGGGGAAGATTTAAACTGGAATCCCAATGCAAATGATTTAAGACAAAAAGTAAAAATTGTTTTTGAACGGACTCTATTTTCTCAGAATGAACTTGATAACAAGGGTTCCATACTACAAAAGCATACTCTAATATAGGCCTCACCAAAGATGTAAGAAGAATTTTTCTGGTAAGCGGATCTCTACATTCTTTAGACCAACGTTTAACAAAACTAAGAGCACCTTTAGCTTTAAAAACCATGGAAGATACGTGAAGACTAAAATTGAGCTTGGGGTCCATAGTTACTCCTAGATCAACAAAACTGCATGCAGTAGGGTCTACAGATCTACGTGAAAAGCACATCGTTTYACATTTTTTAAGGTTCAATGGCATGTCATTTCTAACACACCAAGAAACTAGGTTGTTTAAGTCTGTTTGCAACTGACATCTTTCGCTATTTTAGGTGAATGATTTAAAAAGTTTTACATCGTCAGCACTTTTGAAAACTTAACAACAGATGAAATGTCATAAATAAAGAACAAGAACAGAATTGGGCCAAGGAACGCCTGAAGGAACATTGATTATGTCAGAAATAGTTTCAAGCAAATTAGTTATTGTAGATTTCCCTTTACGAAAACCGTGCTGAGAACAAGAAATTAGTGGAGAGATCCGGAAGGTTATGTCGTCTGTTATAATTGCTTCAAAAGGTTAGGTATTGCAGACAACTTTACCATTCCCCTATAGTTTTCAATAGGTGACCTAAATCCACTCTTATGCAAAGGAATTATAAATGACTTTTTCCATATGGATGGAAATAAGCCTTGCATTAGAGATGAATTAAATAGTTTTGCTAGGGGTTGGTATATATATTTGACACATTTCTTAAGAAAGCACGAGGGAATCATATCTGGGCCATAATTGTATGATTGTTCTAATATATATAACTGATATAAGACGTCTGCTTCCGAAATGGTAGGTGCATTAATGACAGAAATCGGACATACCTTGTGCTGATGCGGAACATTTTTTGGAGACTTTGGAGAGTGATTGGACCTAAAAAATTCAGCGAGCATATTAGAAATGGTGTGATTCTCACTGGACATACCAGACTTATAATTCAAAGCGAACTGAAAATTAGAAATCCTGCGTTTGAAGTTGACGGAACCATAGAACAATTTGGATTACGTATAATATTATTTTTTACTTTATTTATATAATTATTATAACATAATTTATTAAGTTGAGCAAATTGTCGGAGCAATTTAGAATACTTTGAATAGTCAGCAACTAAACCAGTATTTTTGAAAAGTTTAAAAGCACGAGATTTTCTATTTTTTAATTTGTTTCCAATAAAACTTTCAAACTTTTCGTATAATTTTTCGGTAAGAAATCTAAGAGTGGGAATCATGTCGTGATTGTATGCACGAAAATGGTGCGCAGAACATAACTGGAAAATTAAGTGTGTACTAGTAACAAGTCAATATCTATGAAAATATTAGATATTAGCTATATAATCATTTATTCAAAAAGTACGAAAAACTGTAGTCTTAGTATTCATATATTAAAATTTCAGTGTTACCTTATATGGCATTATTCTTTTTCTTTATTTCACAGGCTTTTATGTTCGAATCAGCGCTGAACCTAAGAATAACTAAGTGGGCAGAAAAAACATGTCAAAAATTGGATGAGCAGTATTTTGAATGCTGGAAGGGGCTGAAGAAAAATTTTAATATTTAATTATTGTTAATATTTATACGATTTAAGGGAACTTTGAATAATAAAAAGCATTAAAATCAGAATTATAGTACTTTAAATTACAAAGAGCAATTTTCGAAATAAAATAAATATGTAAGTATAGTAGATAACTTACGTTATAAACATGAAAACTTGGATTTAAATCAGGTGTATTTCTTTATCTTATATATAAAAATGAATCGCAAAATGTGTTGCTAAGCGCATAACTCAACAACGCCTGAACCAATTTGGTCAATTCTTTTTTCTAAATGTTCGCTGACGCTCAAAGATGGTTTTCATGGCGAAAAAAATTCGAATAATTATCGGAAAACCCCTAAAAACAGCTCTTATTTTTCCCATACAAACGAATGAATGTTTGTTTTTTAGTAACGGTTCGAGAACAGCTGAACCAATCTTGATGACATTTTCAGAGTTTGTTCGCTGTGGATCGGAGAAGGTTTAGAAATAACGAAAACCGCATACTTATCGTGTGGGAAAGTCATAAAAGTGGAGAATTCCAAAAAGTAACTTTTTTCATACAAAATTTTTCTTTCAATTCTTTTTTATTTTGGTTTTTAATTATTTGAATCGTCCAAATTTGTCATTCTGGCTTTAAAAAAAATTACTGAAAATTAATCAGTGATGATGTTATGTGTGTTTCACACAAAGTGATCAGTTACAGATTGAAATTTGTTACAATCCTCTTCCGGGTCGCGCTAATATCGGTCGGCGTTCTTTTTGCCGTCAACCTATGGCAGCCCAAGGCACATGAACGAGTACTCCCAGGATGCGGTGACATACGTGCGGAACTATAGATCGTGGTCAATCAGCAAGCGATCGTCACTATATCAAAGAACGACTTTACAAACAACTGTTACGACGTTTGATGGACTTTATCTTGAAGCAACGTATGGTATATATGGTGCTGTTAGATGCTAGATGCACTCTGTTGAGTTGCAAAAAAGAGGTTTGCCGCACGCATACATTCTTATTTGGATAGTTGATTGTGGTTACACAAGATCAAATTGATGAAATCATTTCTGCGGAAATTTATGATGCAGAGAAATATCCAGTATTATACGAGGTAATGAAAACCAATATGGTTCATGGACTTTGCGGACATCACAATGTGGCTTGTATGTCTGACAATAAATGCACCAAAAACTATTAAGGTGCTTTTCTTTCGGAAATTACACAAATTAGAAATGATGGATGTCTATCGTCGTAACTCATCCGACGACAAAGGCAGAACATTTACCATTCAACTTGAGTTGAAGTGACTATTGACGTCGACAACACATGCATCGTACTACTGTTGTCTAATTCACATTCAAAACTTATTTCAATGTTCAATTTTGCAGTTTGGTGTAATTGATAAAATACGTCACCAAAGGAAGCACATGGCCGTTATTGGTCTTGAACGATGCGGTCGTTACGTGGACTGCAATAAAGCGCTTTGGAAGATACATATTTACTTTTCACTTCATGAACGTTTTTCGATTGATGTGCGTTTCGCAGTTAATTTGCAAAATGCACTATGGTCTGAAATTCTAATTTTTTGGCATAAATTAGAAGGAGTGGTACTAGGCCACTGAAATTTCGCAAACAGGTTTTATATGACTTAGTTAAGAAAAATTCCAAAAATGGATGAAAACGGTCATTCTCCAGGGGTACCTCCCTTGGACGTATAGTAAAAATTTTTGAATTTCAGCTCCAAAAATTGCGATATCATCACGAAAATTGGTAAGTATGTTATTCTTGTAATACTCATCGACGATACCAGAAATATTTGAAATCGGCCAGTCCCTAGGAGTACCTCCCTGGGACCTATATTAAAAATTTTGTTTCATAAAATGAAAAATTTGCATATGATAGGCAAAAGTGGGCATATAATTTTATTATCCAAATATTTATACATATATTTTTACTGAAACAATTATTTTTATAATAACATTGACTGTACATCTGAAATGATAGAGAAGTTACAGAATTATTAAATTCACTTGAATATAATATAAAAAGTTATATGTACCAAGCAAATCATTCGAAATCACAGTCTTCCGTATGTAAAACTAAAGCGTTATCCACAACGTTATCCGAATCGTATTCAGATCCCCCTGGCAAGTGGTTGAAAATTTGAAGCTCACTTGAAGRTGTAAGCAATTGTATTACTTCTTCTGGTAGCTTCACTCTTTTCCGATATTTTTCTCTAGCGGATAAAGACAAGTTTGAAAGAAGGGGGTCTGAAGAATCCATTGCTCTATTGAAAACATCAGTCATATTATTTTTTCTTGTATTTTTTCTTGCATGTGCGTTGCGATCTCTCTTGTATAATTTATTTCGAGCTTCTGACGCATTTTCACCAAAACAACCAACAGGCATTACGCAATTTTGTATAATCTGTGAGCCGTGAACTAATATTTTATGAACTGTTGCTGACATTGGAAACCATAAATATTTTTCCATATACAAGAAGGCAGTTCTTTTGCAAAAATCTTCAAACTTTGTAGTATCTATAGGATACTCGCAGGAAATAGCAATTAATATAACTCTAAAGTTATTCAAAATTTCTATATCAATATTTGTAATTAAAGAAAAGAGTTCCAAATTGTTCAATGCTGTCCTGGCAGTATTGCCGTCATTTGTTGTTCCACTACCATTTGCTTTAGGCTTATCTACATGAAGGCYCATTTCTTCCCAAAACCTCTTTTGTACTTCTTGTTTACGAAGTTGGAATGCTTCTTTATCTGAAGCTTCCCTTATTTGCCACTTTTTTAATTCGATTCTATAAGCAATGTGTACAACGAATTCAAATACTCGAATCCATGCATGTAGTGGGCTAATACCATATCTAAGGGATGTAAGTTTGGGTTTAAAAACATCAGAATTAAAATTTTTAGTTGCTACGAATTGTTTTGGTGTAGCACCACATATTGGGCATTTTTGATTAGAATTGGTATTTGTTATAACATTTAGTACTTTTCCATCAATMAAAGTCATATGCAAATCATAATTGACAATAATTTTTTCTCCGTTATCAAGGTAATATTCAAATGGATTTAAATAAGATATTTGCATATCTAGCTGACTATTTTCTGATAGAATTAGAGCTGTAGATTCTTTTGCTAATTGCATTTTTAATGGCCTGCAAAACCGCACTGATTGCGTAGTGCGATTCCTCCAAATAATTTGGCAGAACTGTCCAA